TGGTGAGCTCGGAGCGCTGGATGAAGCTCTTGCCGCACTCGGAGCACTGGTAGGGCTTCTCACCCAGGTGGATGCGCTGGTGCTTGATGAGGTTGGAGGAGACGCTGAAGCACTTCCCGCACACGTTGCACTCGTAGGGCTTCTCCCCGGTGTGCATCCGCCGGTGCTTGGTGAGGTCGGACTTCTGGATGAAGCCCTTGCCGCACTCGGGGCACTTGTAGGGCTTCTCGCCGAGGTGCGTCCGCTGGTGCTTGATGAGGTTGGAGCGGACGCCGAAGCTCTTCCCGCAGTCCCCGCACTCGTAGGGCTTCTCCCCCGTGTGCATCCGCCGGTGCTTCACCAGCGCCGAGTTCTGCCCGAAGCTCTTCCCGCACTCGGGGCAGGCGTACGGCTTCTCGCCGGTCTGCGTGCCCTGGTGCCTCACCGCGCCCTCCGCCCGCGCCGAGAAGCTCTTCCCGCACTCGCTGCACTTGTGGCTCCTCTCCGGCGCTGCCCGCGGCGCCCACGGGAAGCTCTTCCCGCACTCGCCGCACTTGGAGGGTCTTTCGGTGCCCAAGAGCCGCCGGCGCTTGGCGGGCGACGCCAGGAAGCTCTTCCCGCAGTCGCAGCACCGGCGCGGCTGCTCGGCACTGGCATGGACGCGCTGGTGCCGCTCCAGGTGGGAGCTCTGGGAGAAGCTCTTGCCGCAGTCGCCGCAGCGGAACGGCTTCTCGCCCATGTGGATGCGCCGGTGCCGGTCGAGGTGGGAGCTCCAGGCGAAGCTCTTCCCGCACTCCCCGCACTCGTAGGGCTTGGCGGCACCCGCGTGGCTCTGCCGGTGCTTCGCCAGCGCCGCGTCGGCGCCGAAGCCCTTCCCGCACTCCCCGCACTTGTAGGGCTTCTCGGGAGCGGCGCCACCGTGCCGGCGCTTGGCCAACGCCACCGGCTTGGCCGCCGAGCCCTTCCCACGCTCCGGTGGCTCCGGCTCGGCGCCGCAGTCGGCGCAGCGGCACGAGGGGTCCCCGCGGGCGGCGGCGTGGGTGCGGCGGTGCCGGTCGAGGTGGGAGCTCCAGCTGAAGCTCTTGCCGCACTCGGGGCAGGCGTAGGGCTTCTCGCCGGTGTGGATGCGCCGGTGCCGCTCCAGGTGGGAGTTCCAGTTGAAGCCCTTCCCGCAGTCGCCGCATTTGTAGGGCTTCTCCTCCAGGTGGAGCTTCTGGTGCTTCACCAGCCCGGCGCTGGCCGGGAAGCTCTTGCCACAGACGGCGCACTGGCAGGGCGCGGCGCCGGCGCCGGCGTGGACGCGCTGGTGCTGGATGAAGGCCGAGCCGACGCTGAAGGTCTTGCCGCAGTCGGGGCACTTGTAGGGTTTGTCGCCGGCGTGGCGCCGCTGGTGGGTGATGAGGGTGGAGCTCAGCCGGAAGCACTTCCCGCACTCCGGGCACTTGTGGGGCCGTTCCGTCCCGCGCCGGCGCTTGGGGAAGGCGGAGCCGAACGCCAAAGCTTTGCCGCAGTCGTGGCACCGCCCGTGGCCCAGGAGGCTCCGCGGCGGGAACTTCTTGAAGCCGCGGGGTCCCGACTTGCTCTGGCGCTTCCCCGCGGCTTTGCGGGGCTGGGGGTCGGGTTTCTGGGGGGCCTCGCCGGGTTTGGAGCCCTCGGCGTTGGGCGGGTTGGCCGTGGGCTTGGGTTTGGCCGCCGAGGCCGTGGCGGCTGCGGCGTCCACCTTCTCCAGCTCGCCCGGGGGAGGCTCCTCCTCCTCGTTGTCGGTCAACAAACCATCATCTGCCAGGACAAAAGTGGGCGGGAGGGTCCATCAATGCCCCAAACCCACCCCCCCGTGGGTTTTGGGCTCTTCCAAAACATGTCCTTGGTCAGCTTGGTCAACTCGGTCAACCATGGCCCAATTCCCACCCCCTTGTGGATTTTGGGCTCTTCCA